CGCTTTGAAAGAGCGAAGTGTTTTGGCTCACACTCCATTTCAAATCGGTAGTTTATTTCTCCAGACAGTTAGAAAGAGTGTATAAACACCGCTCTCACTCAAAGCGAATTGGAGATCAGCTGTTCCGCTCAAAGTCCAAATAATCGCATCAGTATTTAAAAGCTGATTAATAATAATCGTTCTTTTTCTTTGCCACGATTTTATAATGCCGAATAAAACTAGATTTTTATCACTTTCCATTATGTTAACTTATAAAATGTCTAATGAAAACAGCTGATTTTGTTTGCTTATGAAGACGGTTACTTTGATGCCGATATAAAGCCGTAAGTATAAACACTAGAGCGAAATGTGTACGGTGTCAATGCGCTTTCAATTAAGTCTATTATTCTGTGCGTATAAACATAGTGTGTCTCGCGTTTAAACACCCATATGTAAATGCTACTTTTGTGCATATACGCGTATGTACCACATATTAAATAGAACGTATCAGAAAAGTACCATTTAAATATGCAAAACATATCGCATAAGGGCGATGTAAGTTGAGCATGTGGTCTGGCAAAAGAGCAGATTAGCTCAACAACGACTGTTGCCACTTGGCCAAGTTGGTGATCACCAGTTATGTTTAAACCAATGTTTATGCCCATTTGCAAAGGAGGGGGGGGCAATTGGAAAAGTCGTTGAAATGCCTATGAAAATAAGAGAAAATTTCCCGATAAATTTTTTGGCTACGTTATAAATGTACCCAAAATGGTGTGCTTGTACCGAATATGCATAGCCATTTCACAATTTGACAAACTATGATGAAATTCATTGTCAAGACTCTCCGTAGAGCAAAAACTCTATTTAGCTGACAAATAGAGCGTAGAGTAGAGTATCGCTAAATAACTCTCCCGTCGACTGTGTAGGTGAGTATCTGGTAACTAGAACTCTATTGAGTGTTTACGCGTGTAAAGGCCCGTCCACATACAACTTTGGCGTTGCGTCGGCGCTGGCGTCGCTTTGACAGCAGCGCGAGTAACGCCCGTGCTTGCTACAATGAACGCTTAGCAGAGAATACTTTGGTCACTAAATTAACATACTAGCGGCAGAAAAACCAAAATTTTACATCAATAATTGCATTAAAAAATATATTTCTTGCCCGCATTTGATTAAAAATGAAAATTGAATCACATAATTTTGATTATTTGGAACAGCTGACGAATGACGCGCGCGAAAAGTTGAGAGTTGGTAATCTTTCTGCGTTGTGTTGGCGTTGGCGTTGCCCAACTTTGGTTATGTGGAGACTTTCATATAAATGCATGTATTCATAGTCAGCTGTCGAAGCGACGCCAACGCCAACGCAACGCCAAAGTTGTATGTAAACGGGCCTTAACTTAGCTTAACGTTTATTTCTCTAAAATTTACTCAGGAGAAAGTTAAGGAAATCGCATTTTGTAGGCGTTCGTTATCAGATATAGCCGACCTACCAATTATTCGACGCAAGTTATAAACAGAAGCATGCATTATTTTTAACTTGCCTGCAAATTATAGGTAAATACATACGCAAATTTGCATATACATATATACATACATATGTATATTCCACCCACGTTAAAATGTTTCCCTCTTAAATTTAGTCTGAATAAAATTGTTTTAATATGCAAATTAAGCGGACTGCTAATAAAAACTGCAAATTTAACTGGCATTAAAAAAGAAGCTGTGACGAAATTTCAGCTGTGATAATTCAGTTGACAAACGTGCTGTGCAAATATTTATTAAAATGGGGCAAATAAAAATACACTCCGATACATATAGGTAGTACAAACAAATACATACATATAAACGCATTTTTGTACTCGCATTTTATTAACGAAATGCAAGTTAAATAAGACGTTTCTGGAGATATGAATTAAGAAAATCATAAAAACTCAAGATAGAAAAAAGTACGCAAAGAAAATACGATTAATAGATTATTTTAAGGAGCGAAAAACGAGTGCTGAGCAATAAATAACACGTGCAGTTAAACAGAATTATTCTAGAAATCATCGAGAACATCAATTATAGGGTAGAAGCGAACTTAATACATTGCAGCCACTGAACGTCCTGAGCCCTCCAGTAGTAAGTTTACCACAAGTGAACAGCGTCCGGTGAATGGAAATTGATCGAGGCCCCCTAGCGACCATGAGTTGGATGTTTTTTTTTCAATTATCCACTTCAAATCATGTGAAAATGCCCTAAAAAAACTTAAGATCCTAGCCAAACTAAAAAAATATACATACTTATGTACATATGACTTTTCGTGTGTGAAGTATGTATTTACATAAATATTTGTGCACGGTGTTGCTTCTTAACCAAGAGTTTAAAATCAAATCGGCATGAGTAATCTCCAGTCTACTTAAAGCAACAAAACTTTGTAGTTAGTACTATGTGCTAAGTAAAAACCCCGAACTTTACAAACAGTTCTGGAACACCCTAATGCAATCACATACATACATATACGCACCGCACCACCTATTTCAAGGTCAGTAGCGCTCAAGTTGTTTTTATCAGCTGGGAAAGTTAATGATATTTCATTAACCTTCTCTTAAATATACTGAGGACAATTGAAATAATTTTATGTTTATACAAATTTTTAATTTTTTGTTTTCGCATGAATCTCTAGTTGGATAACTGCGAAAGACTTTGTCAATTAAGTGGCTGCTTATCGTTTTAATTGTTTGTTTACTGTGCAATACAACGTAATTTAGTAAAATTTTTATTGATCTGGCTTAGGAGCACCGGTGTTTATTTACTAATGGCTTTCCAACTTCATTAGCGCCATTGTTGTCTTTGAAGTTTGTTATCGCTTATTAAACGCTTTTCAATTCAAAGTCATGTTCGTGTGTGCTTTTGTTTATTAATTAGCGGCGTTTTCAAAAGCAAATACATAAAAAATACTTCTTAATTAAAAAATAGTGTAACACATTTAAACTCCAAATGCAATTAATTTTCTTTACGGAAACAGCTTCAGACAATCTCTTGAAGTGCCTGAAAATGTTTGGATCTACAAACATACATACATATGTACATACATAAGTATCAATTTATGCAAGTAAAAATGTGCAAAAGCAACAATAAAATGTTATGCAAATGTTTACATTTCTAGCAATTTCACTTACAGATCGAATGTACATACTTGCATATGTACAGGCATATCGTCGATGTTTTTGCAAAACCGCCCATCGACCAGTTGCAAAACCGCCTAAATCGCCGTTGTCGCAAAAATGAGATTTTGTAACCCTGAACTTCAGGCATCGAGATTTATGCATAAAAATCGTTATTAAAACAACATATTTGTCAAATAATAGCTAGAGAAAATACCGCCTATCAAGGCAATGCATTCAAAGAATAAACCGTTTTTTCGCTCTGCTGTAAAATTTGAGTGCCGTAAGATAGGCGGTTTCGCAAAAACATCGACGATATACTGACTTTCCTCTTTGCCGATTGAGTACGTTGGAAATTAGTAAATAGCAGCGTTCTCAGTAAATAGGTCCGTTTAAGGCCATAAACTCGTTAGTTCAGTTATTTTGGATCGCCTTAATATACATATGTACATACGCAAGTAAGAATCAGGGAACGGAATTTTGGGACCTAAAAACCTTTAAAAAGGCAAAATAAAATAAAATAATGAAAAAATATCTATTGCAAAAATATTTTTTAAAAGCAAGCTTTTATTTAACATGTACAATCAAAGGAATAAAATAAAGTAATGTAACAAAAGATTTTTTAGCAAGAAAATTTGGTCAAAACTGCACTAAAATAAAATAAGTTAAGGCCTCGTTAAAGTTACTAAAAGCCATTTAATGAAAGGAGTTATTCAAACTCTAATGAAAATTACTAACAGTCGGCGAATTCAGCGTACATGCATAATTGGTTAGGTATGTATGTATATGTATGTATGCAGATATTTTTTTATTATTAAAAAATATTTTTTTTTTACATTATTTTATTTTCTAATTTTTAGTCCATTTATAAAAGCGTTGTATATTAAAAAGTGTTATTTTATTTTATGTACAAAATTTTGCAATATATATTAAAATAATTCAACTTGCAAAGAAAGAGGACAGAAGACTTGGCAAGCAAAATGTTGTTTGCTTACGTTTTGTATAAACATACATATGTACATATAGCAGCAGTTAATTTTGTTTAAAGAAATGGCGTGTCGTCCATTTCCGCTGTGGCATGGCATATATTTAGGCGCAATATTTAACTTCTTCTGGCGGGGCGACATCTGGAGTCTTCTTATTCCTACAACGAGGTTCATATGTAGACTAGGTTGATATCTAAAATTTGCCACAAATAGCTTTGCTACACTATCGCCGGCAGCTTCAGCAATTTTATAGTGGTTTTACGTTCTTTGGCAAATTACGCTCTGTTAGCCATAAATCTTACTATTTTTTGACCGCCTTTGAATCAAGACCCCTGGACCATATGGGGAATTCATTTATATATTAAATTGCATTGTCATCGTGGTTGGAACTATGCTACAAATTTCAAATAAATAAAAGCTTATAATAACGAAATAGGCTGGAAAAGGCAAAATAAAATAACGAAATAGGCAGGAAAGGGAACTTGAAATAGCAAAAAAGGTAAAAGAAGGCACTAAAAAGACAGAAACTGAAAATTAACACTGGCTTACAGGAAAAATATTCAACGGACGCCACTATCCAATTTCTATAAAAGTAGAATCGCTCGCTGATTCCGAAAATCGAGATAATTTTTTATTCTATGGATAAGTTTTCGATATATTTTCAGGTGTACATGGCGTATGAGTAACATTCTTTCCTGCTAATTTTATCATACAAAAAATCTTTCCGCATTTTCATATGACCACTTATTAGCCGTCATCGATTCGCCAACAGTTAGCGAGTGGCGAAACGAACGAACTCAATGAGGTACAACCAAACTCGCTATCGTCTATCCGTGCTAGCTAACTTTGTTGTTGCTTTTACGAGGGTGGATTGAAAAGTCGTTAGAATTGCGACATCTATCGGTCATTAATTTACTTAATTATTGTGAATGTTAAAAGTGAACTGTCAAAAGCGAGCTGTCAAAATTTCATAACATATGGTCAAACGGTACTTTTTTGAGAATTATTTTTGCAAAACACTATTGTATTTTTATTAAAAATGGAAAAAAGTGAACTTCGTGCTGTTATAAAGTACTTTCATTTGAAAGGTTTAAACCAGAAACAAATTATTGAGGAGTTGCAGACAGTATTAGGGGAACATGCACCCTCAAATGCAACAGTTTACAATTGGGTAAACGAGTTTAAACGTGGTCGGATAAGCACCAAAGATGAGCCACGCTCTGGGAGGCCAAAAGAGGTAACGACTCCAGAAACGGTGGAAAAAGTGTACAAAATTGTCACACAAGATCGAAGAATTAAATTGAGAGAGATTGCTGACATTGTGAACATTAGTTATGAACGTGTGCATAACATAATACATAATGAATTGGGTATGAAAAAGCTTTCAGCAAGATGGGTGCCGCGTTTGCTAACTCCTCTGCAAAAAATGAACCGAATGTCGACTTCAAAAGTTGGTTTAGACATGTTTAACAGAAATCCATCGGCATTTTTGCGTCGTTTCATAACGATGGATGAAACGTCTATCCACCACTATACACCAGAGTCTAAAGAACAGTCCAAACAATGGGTAGAACGTGGCTCAAGTGCTCCAAAGAAGGCAAAGGTCGTTGCATCAGCTGGTAAGGTTATGGCATCTATTTTTTGGGATGCACAAGGTATAATTTTCATAAATTATCTTGAAAAGGGTAAAACCATCACAGCTGAATATTATTCATCTTTGTTGGATACATTGGACCAAAATATTAAGCAAAAACGGCCACATTTGAAAAAGAAGAAAATCCTCTTTCATCATGATAACGCTCCTTCACATTCATCTTGGAAAACGCAGGAAAAAATAAATGAGTTAGGCTATGAATTGCTCCCTCATCCGCCATACTCGCCAGATTTAGCTCCCAGTGACTTTTTCCTTTTTCCAAATATGAAAAAATGGCTCGGCGGAAAAAGATTTGTGTCAAATAGTGAAGTTATAGCTGCAACAAATACTTATTTTGAAGGTTTTGAAAAAACTTATTTTAGAGAAGGAATAAATATGTTAGAAAAGCGTTGGAAAAAATGTATTGACTTAAAAGGAGATTATGTTGAAAAATAAATCAATTTTGTGTTAAAAAACCAATGTCTAGTTTTTCATTCTAACGACTTTTCAATCCACCCTCGTACATGCAAAATTCTTCTTTAAGCGACCGGAACTCAAACATAGCAAGCAGCGAAGTGGCGAATCGATGACGGCTATTATTTCTTCATTTATCCGTCAATTGATTTTGTGTGATAGATAAGGCTTTAACACAGCTTTGATCGTACTAAACGTGCGCTCGATGTGAGTTGATACCAGTGACGCCCAATTTAAATATGGAACGTTTCCTCTCTATAATCACTTTTTAAATTTACAATAGGCAAAAAAGGCAACACCAAATATATAGAATCAGAAAAGGCTAAATCGTGGGCATTCTTAATCAAATATACTCTATGGCCCGTAGTCATAGAGAAGTTAAGGTTTAAACGGTTAAAATTGTGTTTTATTGTAATCACCATTTTAACTCTTTCATAGTCAACTTAAAATGCATTTTACGGCAAAAACAGAATTTTAACTTTAAGATGTAAAAAAATGTTCCCTGGCAGTGGGATTCGAATCCATGACTTCCCGGGTAGTTAAATGCGCAATACTGCAGCGGACACAGAGTGAACTTATTAAAGTACTCATATTTCTATATATTTCCGGGTAAATTTTTTCTCTTCATATGGATAGCACTGTTCTCTCTCTCATCTTAACAAAAAGCTGTTTCTAAGATGTCTATGATTGACGCAACTTAAAATTCTATTCTAAACCTAAAACTTTATTTTAACAAGAATGAGTTTTAACTTGCGACTATGACTATGGGCCTATATACATATTTAGCAGAAAAAGGGCAATTTCCATAAAATCCGTTCCCTGGTAATAATAAATTGCACGGTTGATCAATTTCTTTTATTCTTTGGGTGGATAGTCGAAATGCAAATTCAAATCCAAATTAATTCCAAATTTTGGCTTACGAGGAAACCGCAAACAGCAATGCCGCGAAAAAGGACGTTCGCGAAATTGCAAATCAAGTTGGACGATTTCAAGGTCTTGTTTCGTGTTTTTTAAAAGAGAAAAGTGTATATGGGGCAGTGTTGCCAGATTTACCTGTAAATTTCCGGTAATAAAACTGTGTTTCCGACAAAAACATAGTAACCTTCAAAAACGAAGAGTTTTTAAAAAATTAAAGCACCGTGTACATATGACTTTCCTCGCTTTGCTGTACAGTTGGAAGTTTAACAACAAAGCGTGAGAGGTAGAAGGTATGCTACAATAAACACTTCGACAGCTTCTGCGTTCTCCTGTTCTGTGTTAAATAGCTAACAATAGGTTTGTATAGTAGCTTCTCCAGTAAAAGATTGCAGCGAGAGCGTAAATATTAAAAATACAGCGTAAAATTGAGATGAAGAGAAAACTAGCAGAAAAATTTACTGAACGCAAAACTAGTAAAAATATGCAAGTGAACGGTTGTTGCACTGTTTTGATATTTCTTTTGGAGATAAATTTTGGCGCACATTGTTGTGCATACATATGTGCAATTTTTGGAAAAAATGCGAAAAATTACGCTGGATGTAAAATGCTGACCAGCAACGATAAAACGGATAGAAACCAGTAAGTATAAATACTAAATTAATGTACTAAATGTCCACTTATAATTTTCGTATTACATATGTACGTATTTAGATGTTCAATATCAACAGGAGGTACTCCCCCAGCTATTTTTGGAAGAACCTTTTGACGAAGTAAGGTTTTCTCCGTCTCAACCAGTAAGTATTTTTGTACATTACGTCGGCCGCTGTGGTGTAGTGGTAAGCAGTGCGCGCTTCCACTCCACAATGCCTGGGTTCAAACCCTGGTCAAAGCAACATCGCAAAAATATAGAAAAAAGGTTTTTTCTTAACAGCGGTCGTCCCTCGGCAGGCAATGGCAAACCTCCGAGTGTATTTCTGCCATGAAAAACAGCTTCTCATAAAAATACAATCGCCGTTCGGAGTCGGCGTAAAACTGTAGGTCCCTCCGCTTTGTGTGACAACATCAAGGCGCACGCCACAAATCGGAGGAGAAGCTCGGCCAAACACTAACATATGTGTAAGCGCCAATCTATTATTATTATTATTACGTATAAATTTTAATATGGGTTTTTAAAATGAAGGGCTTTGAATCAGTTGGGTTTCTCGCACACATATGTACATAAATAACCTCAAATTACAAAAAATTTCCTGTTTTTATTCCATTTGTATAGAGTATTGCATCCTATGAACCGTTCGGAAGCGGCTTTCTTTATATGTGTACATTGTACATACATAATTTCATATTAGTAACCTGTTTTTTTTTTTTTTACATTTGACAGAGTGTTAAATCCCCTACGTTGCTTGCAAGCGGTGGCAGTGGTGATGGGTCAAAAGTAAGTGGGTTTTATTTGTACCTACATACATAACGTTATATTACTAAAAATTGCCTGTTTTTAATCCATTTGCATAGAGTATTGAATCCTATGAATTCTTTGGAAGCGGATGCAGTGGTGATTGATCAAACGTAAGTGGGCTTTCTTTACATATGTATGTATGTATGTACATACATAACTTCATACTAATAACGATTCAATGAAATTTTATTCAAATTAAATGAAACTTCCTTTTAAGAATAATTCATTTAATTTGTAAAAAGGTTTATTTAGTTTGAATAAAGTTTCATCGAATCTGAAAAAGGTTTCATTTAAACTGAAAATGCTATATATTTGAGGCCACCTTTATTCTGTAATAATAGTTGTTCACTAACAAACAGTACCTTCTAATTTCAAATGGAGCTTGAATATTTTGATATCTAAAAACTTTCAATATCACAATAAATTGTAACTCTTTACAATTGCTTGTGATTAAATCGGCTACTAATAACTATTGTTAAAGATGTTTTATATTTTGTTGGCAGGGGTTAAACGATTTGACAAGAACGAATAAAAATGAATGGTTGAATGCTTCGGTCAAACTGCTCATATCCCTAGTTAAAGAACTTCGGCCCCAAGTAGGCAAATCTACAAAACTAAAAACCAAGAAAAAATGTGGATTTCCATTTCGGAGAAGTTATGTTCTCAAGGGTATATGTCTACCGCCCAGCAAGTTGAAACGAAATACTATACAATGGAAAGAGCTTATAAAAATAATAGGCTCCATAATCCCAAAACTGGACGAAATAGAGAGTAAGTTATTTTTAGTAAATCCTTTTTTTTATTTCTAATACGAGTTTTGCCATCATATAATAGGGAATTAGACAACTTACTATCAGAAAGAGAGGTAATTAACCCAGAATTTAGACTGAGTGAAGATGATACTACTGGC